AAACTTGTGATCCTTCTTCCTCAGCCTCTTGAGCCCCTGGGATTACAGGCAGCCATGCGCCATCATGCACGATAGCTTTTGTTTTTTTGCTGATCCATGTTCTTCAGTCTGGAATAGTTCCTCAGCTTTGTCTTTATAGCATTCTGTTAGGTCTTTATGGGTAAAATACTGTAAAGATCAGCAAATGGAAGCTGTCACGTTACAAACCAAATTATTTCTTGTTAGTCTCTTTTACTCTCCTTTTGCTTATTCTTTCCCATTGTGCCAGGCTTTTCTTTCCTTTGGCCTCTACTCTTAATACAGGGTCCTCCTGATTTTCCCACTTTTGTGCTTTCTCTAGCCTGTGAGTTCATGATATTCTGGGCAGCCAAGCTGTCTTCCCCTAAAACATGGCTTTCAACCTGGTCACTTTAGTGTCTTTTTCTACTTTTACTTTATTTTCACTTTTATAGAGTAAGATTTTTGAAAAGGTTCTTGAAAACAAACTACTTCTAATAGTGAAATGATACATATTGGTAGAGAATTGAAAATTATTGTAAATAAAACTACTCATTTTCCCCCTAAAAAAACTTTCTTCTTAATTTTATGGCTATATAAATATAGTTTAAAATTATGTTTTTATGAGCATCCCAAATTGTGTACACTATATTTTTGCTATCAAATTCAAAGTCATCATTTGCTCACAAATATCCTGATGAGATAGCACCACTGACATGATGCCAAAATGGAAACTTCCACACTTAGCTTCATGTAACAGGTCACAGTCAAAACACAGTTGTACTAAAATATTATATAAAACTACTTTCATGCCATGTGTATAAGGTATGTGAAATATTTCCTATTTAGTCTTGGGTTCCATCCTTAAGATATCTTACATATTTATGTAAATATTTCCACATGAAAAATCCCAAATCTAAAACACTTCAACATTTCTGGTCTCCTGGTTTTTTGTTTTGTTTTGTTTTTGTTGTTGTTTTGGTACTGGGCATTGGACTCAGAAGCACTTAACCACTGAAGCACATCCCTAGCCCTTTTTGGTATTTTATTTAGAGACAGGGTCTCATTGAATTGCTTAGTGTCTTGCTAAGACTGTCTTGAACCTGAAACCCTCTTGCCTCACCCACCCAAGCTGCTGGAATTATAGGTGTGTGCTATTGTACCACACCCAGCCCAGCATTTTGTATAAAGGATACTATGCTTATTTTTTTTTAATAAATCTAGAAATATCTTTAAACTTGTTTCATCCTTATGAGTAGACTGGGGTTGATTGTGAAAATATTGGTGCTCATAACTTGGGGGAAGTATACCTGTGATTTTCCCTTCAGGTGTTATTGCTTTCCTAAGAAGGGGACTTCCTGAAAGTGTTGTTTTACTTAGCAGTGGTCATTTATTTTATTGTGAAAACACTTTCAGTGTGTGTTCTTACAGATATGGTTTTGGTTGGATATACTAGATTAGAGATTTACTGCTATGACTTAATGTGCTTTATGTCCTCCCAAAGGTTCGTGTGTTAGGATCTTGGTCCTGAGAGTGGTATTATTGGGAGGTGAAGGAACCTTTGGGAAGTGGGGCCTAGCGGGTCTTTGGGTCATTGGAGGTGTGGTCTTAGAAGGTAGTTCTTGTGTGATCCCTTGAGTTCTCTTGAGAGGATTGTTGTAAAATGAGGAAGCCTGGTGCTCGAGATGTCTTCCCTGCTCTAGGTTTGAGGTGTGACCACTTTTTTGATCCCACATAAGCTCCAACCTTACCATCCACACCAGGAGATGATGCATCCAAGGGATGGCCCTCACTATAGAGCCTGCACTAAGCTATTTGGCCTGAATCTCCAAAATTGTGAAATAAATAAACCTTTTCGTAAATAGGCTGTGTCAGTTATTTCATTATATTGATATAAAGCTGACTTGCTTGGGGTCTTCCCAGAGGAAGTAAGAGAATTTTCAGTGGGATGGCCTCTTTTCACACTGAGGGTCATGTAAGAAAACTATAGTTTTCTTTATTTATATGTAGTTACATGTATTACATTTACTTCATACAGAATTTCATGTCTAATATTTAAGAATTTGTTTTTTCCTTTTCGTTAGGTGAAATGTCTCATCATGATGTTTTGCATGCTGCTTCCCAAGGAATAAGTGTCATCCTTTGTGAACACAGCAACACTGAACGAGGCTTTCTTTCTGACCTTCAAGATATGCTGCGTGTGCACTTGGAGAATAAGGTTGATATTATCCTCTCAGAGACAGACAGGGACCCACTTTGTGTTGTATAACACATACAGGAACATAAGGATGACACAATCTAAAAATAATTTGGATTGAAACTCAGATGTATAACTTAAGTTAGTGGTATTGGGATACTTCCAAAGGAGAATCTTAGAATGTATTATCATCTTTGATTTGTTAATCTGGTTCACCGAATGTTTTATAGCTCATAAGGTAAAAACCGAAATGTAACTACCATATTAAAGAACTCTATAAAAAATTACTAAATTATGTTTACTTAACATTCTTGGGAAGTAGCTCAAGTAATCATTGTATTAAACTGTAGATAGGATATGCCAATCTAGAAATTTCTGCCTTTGCAGAGCTTTAAAAATACAAAGATTTTTGTAAATATTACCATCCCACACCAATAGGTTGCTGTCTCTCACTATGGTGATAGTCCACATTATTCCTTGAGTGCATATTTCTCACTTTACTCCAGAGGCATCACATTGCCCTTACTCTCCCTTAAATATGTATCTGCTTTCTTAAATAAACCACTGTTTATGCCTTTGAAAAACATATTTATATAAGCTTTAAAAGCTTGGGTTTGAATATTTATTTATAGGAAGCAGCCTCTTTGTGGTGGTAAGGTCTATTTATGTGTAACTATTCCTAGATCCACCTAGATTCAAATCTCCCAAATGCGTGTCAGGATTTGTTTTGCCTTTTTTGTTATTCAAAGTGAACATTTTTCAATTTATTGCTTCTCCAGGTGACTTATATGTAATTTTATTAGTATACAAAATGATGCTTGTCTCTCAAAATAATATTGATGATACCTTATTAATTTTATGCCAGGTGCTCTGCTGAGTCCTTTGTAAACATTAACTTTTCAAGCCTTATAAACAAGCATATAGGTATTATACTCATTTTAAAATTGAGGAAACTGACACAGGTTAAGTAATTTTCCCAAGGTTGCTTAGCTAGGAAGTGGTGGAGTTAATGTAGGCAGTCTGGCACCAAGCCCTCTGGCTTAATCACTTCTTAAACACATTTACAATGAAATTGATAGAAGCAGCCTGGAAGAAACCCATTTTTGCTGTGATTTTTCTTTGGATAGTATGTTGAAAAGTATTTACAATTTTTCTTCTGAGCAAGTTGCTTTGATAATGATAAAAGCAGATCTTTTAAAGTATTGTCCAACATGTCGKATTTTACATTCCTTTTGTAGGTTACTTTTTCTAACCAATCTATCTCCCCAAGCACTTAGGATCCTAACTTAGAAATTGTTCAGTGGCTCTCCTCTAACTTTGATCCACTGAAGAAATAATGTTTGGCCTGAGTCTTGTGAAGTGCCCCAATTATAAATGGAGGAGGAGCCAAGAAAAGAGGGTGAGGAAAGAATGGGTAGTGTCAGAACCAAGGAGAAAGCTTCAAATGGATGATCAACACTATCAAAATGGAGAGAATGAGTTAGTAGATCACCTTTGAGGGATTATCTAATGGTATTTGATCCAGTCAGTCATCATTTGCCTTCTGGGCCTAAAACACATGGGGGTGCATAGATCAGAAATTTGGATGGTAATTATAAGCTAGGGAAGGTTTTCTGGGAGTAGATTAGAATTCAGTCACTAAGAACAGCTTGAACAAATGTACATGGGAGAGAAATAGCACAATATACTGGAAAGCCCAAGTAATTAGTTCATTATTAATTACTTAGAAAGCAGGAGGCACTGGCTCAGAAAGCTGAGACAGAAGGATTACAAATTCAAGGCCAGCCTCCGCAACTCTGGAGCTCTAAGTAACTTAATGAGACCCTGTCTCAAAAAAAATAAAAGGAACAGCCATGCACAGTGGCACAAACCTGGTTAATACCTGTGGCTCAGAAGCTGAGGCAGGAGGATGGAGGGTTCAAAGCCAGCCTCAGCAACTCATTAACAAGAGCAAGACCCTGTCTCTAAATTAAATACTAAAAAGGCTGGGGATGTGGCTCAGTGACTAAGCGCTCCTGGGTTCAATCCTCAGTATAAGTAAATAAAATTAAAAGCACTAGGAATGTAGATAAGTGATAAAATGCCCCTGAGGCAGGGTAAGGGGTGAGCAGGAGACAGGAAGGTATAGCCATGTAGCCACAGAAGAAGAAAGCCTGGAACCAGACAAAGTGGTGCACACCTGTAATCCCAGCAACTCAGCAAGCTGACAGGGTGATTCCATGTTTGATGCCAGCCTCAGTGGGTAAGCATTCCTAGGTTGCCCTGTGTCAAAACAAAAAAAACAAACAAAAAAAGCAAGCTTGGGTTCAGTGACTCTTAAACCCTTTTTTCTTTTGAGCACACAAAAATGATGTGATTTCATCTGTGATGATGGCAATATCTCATTTAGTTGGAGGTTTTGGTAATTTTCTTGGATAGAGCTCTAGAAATGATTAATGGGTCAAAGAATGTGTTTATGATTGGATATTCTTTTTTAAAAAAATAGTTTTTTTAGTTGTAGTCGGACACAATATCTTTATTTTACTTATTTATTTTTATGTAGTACTGAGGATTAAACCCAGCGCCTTGCACATAATAGGCAAGCACTCTACCGCTGAGCCGAAATCACCATCAGTGGGGAAGAGGGAGGGTAGTCAGGACATAACTGCTGGACCTTAAGGAACCAATGATGCTGATACAAGTTAATGATGAACATATGATGATTCTGCCAAGATCATCAGTGTTTTGTCAGATGAACTAAAAAAATTTTTTGAAACTACTTTGAGATATTTTAGTAAGAAAACAGCACTATAAATTTAAAAAGATGATTCTATCCAAATTGGCTTTTTATTAATAGTAAATTCTATTGACACATACTGCTTGCAAATAGTGTAAACACAAAAATTACAAAAATAAACCAGTAGATATTTAAAGGCAAATGCAAAAATTTGCACATTAGATTATTAAAGGTTTTATATAGTTTTTATACTGTTAACAGTTGTCAAAACTAGATATATTAAGCAAAAAAGCAAGGTGCAAACCAGCAAGTACATTAGTTACCATTATGTTTTTGAAAGAGAAAGACATATTGTTACATGTGCATAGATTACCTCTGGAAGAATACTTAAGAAACTGCTATCAGCGGTTACCTAAAGGACCAGGGATTAGGAAATGGGAAAGAAATTCACTTTCATTGAATATCCTTTGGTACTATTAAATTATTTAATCTCATATTCAGGTATAAATTTGTTCACATATTTTGGTTAGTAGTTATATATGAGACTAAATCCTTAATAAGTGGACTTAACATGAAATTAATTATATGAAAAAACTTCCAAATATTTCTGGAAATATTTTCATGAAAAAGGTTTACAGGATAAGAAATAAGAAAAACTGATGCACTGAAGACTTTATTACAATGATATTTAAATGAATTTCATTTTCAGGTGTGACATATTTCAGGGGGTTTGTATAATCTATAAGCTAAGCTTGACCACTGTTGTCAGCTTATAGATAATAAGAAAAGCTTTTGTAAATATCTAGGAGGCTTGAAATTGTCACTTTAACAAAAAATGGAAGTATCTTACAGTGAGATTAATGTCTACTTGACAGAGAAACCAACATTTTCAGCCAACCACTAATACACTATTGTCAATATACAAGAATAATGAAATGTTTTATTTTGTGTTCTGAAAACAATAACTAAGTCAGGATTCAGTTTCTTTAGCCTGGTTTCTCACTTGTATCATAAAGGTCAAGGTCATGGCTAAGATAATGACTTTTCCAAATAAGATCTATAGTTGATTTGTTTTCTAAGTTGGGTATATACCCTATACCGTCCTTATGCTTATCTCACTTTCCCAACTGAATAGTATTACCCCCCTACCAAGTATGTAGCCTAAATTCAAAAGGAGAAAGGCAGATCACCTACTTCTTCTCCCCCAGACCTTTTCTTAAATTATTTCACAAACAGCAAGAAATGATCTATTGTCTCCACTCATCTGTTCCGAAACAAAGAACACACTTCTGTGATGCCTGTCTTTGTATTTCTGTGCTCTGGAACAAGCACACTTACAATCAGCTCCAGGAGTGTTAAAAGGCCCTCAAAAAATTAGGAATAATATCTTTAGTAGAAAAGAATTCAAAAGCATCCAGTTCCAAATAGTCCCTGAGCACACTGATCATTCCAGCAAGAAGTCTCCAGAGAGGTAATGAGTGAAAGGCACATTTTCTGCAATTCAAGGACCACTTGCATAGTACTAGAGATGGTACACCAGCCAGGCTAATCAAAAGATCTAATTGATGACATATCCTCTCCTAACGTTGAATCTTATTATATGCTGRAAAAATAATCTAATGTTGGATGTAAACAACACTTTCGACTAGAGTGGCAGCTGGGTACAACAACCCTTCCAATGGAAGATACAAGAGTAAAAGATAGCTTCAAGCCTCCTCTTCTTCCTTTTCCAAGAAATCAATCAATGTTCCATTGTCAACAGGAATTAACAAATATTCTACTCCATCAGTTCCCTAAAAGACACAAGAACACCATTAATGAAGTGGATTTGATTCTTTGATATAGTGTTTTAAAGAAATACCCAAATATAAAAAGGCAAAAGGACAAACAGGCATATTTATGTATTTTAAAACATTGAGTTATGGTTAAACCATTTTACCAGGAAAGAAAAACTAAATAGAGTGGGGTAGGTGGGTAGATATTTTCTTCACTGAGCTTTAGATCCTTTATCCTCCTGCCTTCTCCATAACCTGATTCCTGATTTCTCTGTTCTTTTTTCCTTTCAATAAGATTCTTTCCACTGGCTTTTAAACACATTCAGGTATCTCTCTCTTTTTTTAAAAAAATATTTATTTTTTAGTTTTCGGCGGACACAACATCTTTATTTGTACGTGGTGCTGAGGATCGAACCCGGGCCGCATGCATGCCAGGTGAGCGCGCTACCGCTTGAGCCACATCCCCAGCCCGGTATCTTTCTTTTTTAAAATAGATTTCATTAGGTTCCTTCATTCCTCTCCAACTACTGCCCTACTCTGTTATCTTTCCAGAGAGAGAGCACTGTCTATATATGCATGTGTGTGTGTGTGTGTGTGTGTGTGTGTGTATATATATATATATATATATAATCTGTTTCTTCACTTATCACTCCACATAGTCCAACCTAGCTACTGCTCCTGTTATATGTCATTCTGCTAAGGAATTCCATATTCCTAAATCCCACAGATATTTTCAATCTTCATCTTTTTGGCCTCTCAGCAACATTTGACTATTATTCTCTCTTCCTTAAAAATACGCTACTCTTGGATTCTCTGACACCTTGTTTTTTTTTTTTTTTTTTTTTCTCTTCTCTCTGGCTGTTTTCCTTACCTCTCGAGGTTTATCCTTGACCATTAAATTTAAGACTTCTTGGCTTAGTCACTGTCCCTCTATTCTCATTAAATGTCCTCATTCTAGAAGTCCCACCAATGCCTGGTTTCAATTACAATAGGATTAAACTGGAATTTGTATGTCCAGCCTAGGTTTTTCCTCTGGTTTCTTGCTCTAGGTATCCAACTACCTAATTCACACTCCACTTGGGAAACAAAGAAAAAACCAGAGTTAAAGTCTAAACTTACTAAATTCATTAGCTTATGATCTGTATCCCACAAACATTACTTTTCCAGTTTCTCATCAAATGATCCCACTATCTCTGGCTATGCAAACCAGAAACCAGGAATCACTCTTCACATTTTCCACATCTAATTTTTCATCAATTCATGTCAATTCTGCTTGCCAAGTATATCTTGAATCCAACTACTTTAAGCTCCATCAGAAAGCAGTTAGGATTTTGCTTATTACTATAACTTCATACCTAATCTAATATTTGATATATAGTTTATCAAATATATAATATACTGAACTAATTAGAGAGAAAAGAATTATTTGATTCATATTATATTTCTAATGGCCTATTACTTTGGACTAGAACTTATACACAGTATTCTTCTCTGCAGTGAAGCAGAGTTCTTCTTTTTCTTTTTTCTTTTTTTTTTTTTTGAGAGAGAGAGAGAGAAGAGAATTTTTTTAATGTTTATTTTTTAGTTCTTGGCGGACACAACATCCTTGTTTTGTATGTGGTGCTGAGGATCGAACCCGGGCCGCACGCATGCCAGGTGAGCGTGCTACCTCTTGAGCCACATCCCCAGCAGAGTACTTCTACATGTCTCTTTTTACAGAACTAAGATGGCACATACACTAAAGGAATCCTTGTGGCCCACCATGGAAACTGTTTCATACTCAGGTCTGAGTCAAAGATATACTTATCCAAAGTAAATGATATGTACTTCTCCTGGTACATAATCCTAAAACAGCAGAATCTTACCTTCTTTGTTCTTATAAGTTTGTGGTCCCTGAATTCAGTTAACTGGGCTCGGAGTGTCAAATCACTATTGACAAGGAATGCTTCCCGACACTGCTGGTAAAAATCTTGAAAAGAAAGTCCTAAAGAAATCGAAAGGAGATGTGAACATAAGTCTGCATTTAAGATGTAACCCATAAACAGATACCCATATCAAAGAATAGATAACAAAAGCGTTGCCAACATATTATGCCAAAGCCATCAATAAAGATTGATTTTTTAAAAAAGAAAAAAAAACAAGCCAGGTGTGATGCTGCATGTCTCTGATTCCAGCTACTGGAGAGGTTGAGGCAGGAGGATCATAAATTTGAGGCCAGCCTGGTTAACATAGCAAGACCCTGTCTCAAAGTAAAATCAAAGAGCTGGGTATGTAGCTCACTGATAGATGTCCCCTGAGTTCAATCMCCAGTACCTGGCAAAAACAAACAAACAAAACAACCCATGGAAGAAGCAACCTTACCGGAGAGAAAACATTTTAGGTTTGCACCTGTGGCCTATACTTTTTAAAGAGAACTGAATGCTGAAAGTAGTTAATTATGACCAAGCAGAACATAAGCCTGTGGACATTCTATTTTTGCCTCCCACTCCTACCAATGGAGATTGGACCCAAGACCCCCTGCATGCTTTGAGGCAGGGTCTCAATAAATTAATTATCCAGCTGGCCTTGAATTTACCATCCTTTTGCCTCAGCCTCTTGAATAGCTGGGATTACAGGCCTTTGGTAGTAGGCCCAGGTACTGCAGCAGTTTTAAACAGGGTGAATAAAGTGACTTTAAAAAGGGAAGGAACTAATAAGTCATGAGAGCTGAACAATTAAATCTACTGTGTTAAGGACATACCCATCACAGAGCAACCACTTATTCACTACTTTGAGAAACTGCAGTTCTTTCACTAGATTCCACAAAAAAGGAATTTAAGTTAGGGGTAAAACAAAAGTTACACATGTATCAAATATTGGATACCAATGTATGAAGGGTTATCCTGGTTATCCAGCTGATACTTTATTAGTAGCCTGAAAATCCCCCTAAAGAAAAAAGAAAACAAACAGGAAGTCACATCTAGAATAAGAGCAAGAAATAACAGCTAGTAGTAAGACACACAAAGAGAACATCAAATATCTGGCTTGTCTGCATTATCTTCTTTCTATTCTTTTCTCTAAGGAGTATCATTCTTTTTGACTCATAGAAAAGAAGCTTTTTTAAATATAAGAGCATTTTCTTTTCTGACTGCAGATTAGTTCTCCTTATAGAAAATTTGGAATATATACCAACAACTAAAGAGGAAAATATCCTCCTAATCCTAAGATAATAGCCACTAATATTAGGTGTAGAGATCATATTGAATATGCTGCTACATCAAATCTTTCTGGAGTGAGGCACCGTGGAAATATACAAATTAATACATTTATATACTGTATGCACCATTTTATCCTTCACCTTTTCAATTACTGATTTTTCCCATGTCTTTAAAAACTCTTCTTAAAAAGTTTTTGTTTTCTTTTTTGCAGTACTGGGGGACTGAACCCAGGGCATAGTGCATACCTTACCACTGAACCACATCTCCAGCCCTTTTTATTTTGAGACAGGGTCTCACTGACTTTTTGAAGTTGACCTTGAACTTGCAATCCTTCTGCCACAGCCTTCTAGGTAGCTGGTATTACAGGGTCTGGGCCACTGCTTCTGGCTTCTTTCTTTCTCTTAATCTATTCAGGTTTTACGTATCTGTTCTCAGGAAGGTTTGTTATTTTTCAACAACTCGTCTTACGAGACAGATCTAGAATCTTATGCTTTTGAGAGGGATCATAATGCTCAATACATAATTAAACATAGCCATAAAGTTTAAGTAAAATCCAAGCTGAGTGTCACACTGCCCACCTATATACCAATTACTCATGAGGTAGGAGGATTGCTTGAGACCAGCCTGGCAACAAGATAAAACTCAACCTTGAAAGGGGAAAAAAAAAAGAATCTACCAAAATTCTGCTTTTTCTCATAATGACCATTTAGATGCTCTCATTCAGAAATATAAAAATTTATTAAAAAATATTAGTACTCTTGTTTATTACTGGGCAATTTCATAGTCTAGTACTGAGTATTCTGCCTACTGTATAACCCAATACTATAACTGTTTTTATTACTATCTCGTAATCCTTTAAATAGGGACTTTAGTATAGCACCAATAAACTTCCTAGTACAAACATTCAAATATATAGAGGGTTTTTCTTTGTTTTTTGTAAAACTGGGATCAAACCAGCACCTTGTACATACTAGTGCTCTACCACTGACTACATCTCCAATCCTCACCTGTATAGTTTTTAAAAAAAGAATTAGAGTTGACATTCTTACCTTGCATTAGGGGTAAGGCTTCGTAACACATGTGTCAGGGAACTAAGTGGCAGAGATCCAGATTGTTTAACCAGAAGAGAATTCTCATAAGAGGTTTCTTCAGTATAAGGACTATATGTAGTAGTTTCATACCAGAGCCAATTATAAAGACTTTGCTTTGCATGATCCCACACTACAGGACATGTCCAAACGAAAGAATTACAAATTATTTTCGTGTTACTAGATTCCATTCCAGGAAAAAAATGAGAAAATATTAAATAGAACAAAATGAATCCTGATTTTTTGGGGGGTAAGGGGTTGGGGAAGTACTGAGGATTGACCCAAGGTCTTGCACATGCTAGGCAAGTGCTCTACTACTGAGCTACACCCCTATCCCTTTTCATACTAAAATTGAGATATGATCTCTCTAAGTTGCCCAGGCTGATGTAAATTTTTTTTTCTCCCAGTACTAGGGATTGAACCCAGGGCCTCTGACATGCTAGGCAAGCACTCTTCCACTGAGCTACATATTACCAGCCCTTTTTATTTTGAGATAAGAGTTTCACTAAATTGCCCAGGATAGCCTTGAACTTGTGATTCCCTGGCCTCAGCCTCCAGAGTAGGTAGGATTACAGGCCTATACCAGTGCAACCAACTCTGAAATTTTCCATTTTTATCACTTCTCCATCCAAACCAGTAACTCACAACCTAAATTTCTTGTCAGGCAATATCTCAATTTTTATTTGTACACTAAATACAAATTAAATATGCCTCTTAAGCAAGTGAATTTTTATTTTCTAGAACTATGCTCTAAATCAAATTGAGAATACCTAAAATTTTTTGCAACCTGTGTCTTTAAATATCTTACACAGGAAACATACTGGAAAACAATAAGAAAACTTTGTAAGATGGATATCTCAAGAAAGAAAAAGTAACTTATAACTTACTGAGAGGTGCGTTGAGATGATCAATAGATGCTATAAGGTATATGTTATGCAAAGATGACAACTGTCCAATAATTTGCTGGCTCTTATCTCCTCTCAACATCTGGCTATCCAGATTGTGGATAAGAAGGAAGAGTTTCAAGGAAGAATCTAAAAGGAAGGAAATCCAATTATGAGTGCATATTTGTGAAGTCCCTACCAAACAGAGCTTAAGTATTAAAGACTATATTAAAATATTAGAGGACAAAATAAAGGTTGCTAGCTGGGTGTGGTAGCCCACACCTATAGTCCCAGCAACTCAGGAAGCTGAGGCAAGAGGATGTTGAGCCCTTGAGTTTGAGATCAGACTAGGCAATATAGCATAACCCCATCTTAACAATACCTTAAAAAACAAGAAAAACAAAACCCCAAAATCCAAACAACCCCACAAAACAAAACAAAAACCTACAATAACAACAACAAAAAAGATTTCTTAGGGATATGCAATTTATTTGAAAAGATAGGTCATTTACTTAGAAAATAGGCAGGTTATTATGGTTAGCACTTGAGCCAGGCCCTAAAAAATGCAGTTTTAACATAGCAAGATTCATGTAGCAGACTGGAAATGAATCTCTGCATGTGACATTGCAAGGTGGATTAAGTGACAACAAAAAGAGTTCCCATTAAGCAGTAAGAGATTATATTGAAAATCCTGATTATCACAAAAGCCCAAGAAGACAAAAAACGGGGGAGAGCTTTAGGATATTGCTCAAGTATCTGGAAGTTCAGAGAAATATATAAATGAAAGGCTGGCATATAACTCAGTGATAGAATGCTTGCTTAGTATTTGAGTGGCCCTTGGTTCAATATACAGTACCACACACAAAAAGTCAATGAAGAGCAGGATGCGATGGTCAACACCTATAATTCCAGCTTCCCAAAAGGGCAAGGCATGATTACAAATTCAAGGCCAAACTGGGCAACTTAGTGAGAACTTGTCTCAAAAAACAAAACAASCCTCCCCGCCAAAGGATAGAGATGTTGCTCAGTGGCAGAGCCCCAATGGGTTTAATCTCCAGTACTACCAGGAATAAAAGGTTGTGATGGAAGAACTTAAAGGATGGAGCTGTCAACATCATGGACTATATCAGAGCAAAAGAATAAGCCAAGGTCAATGGGTTTAAGAAGGAAAAAAATTACAGGTAGGCACGGTGCTGTACACTGSTATCCTAGTGACTTAGGAGGCTGAATCAGGAGGATTTTAAGTTTGAATACTGTCTGGGCAACTTAGTAAGACCCTATCTCAAAAAGGGGAATGTCTTCAAAAATCTCTGAAATGATATGAAAATAGAAAAACAATCATGTGGAAGGTCAGCAGAATTGGGTAAACTACTTTTTTCCATTAAAACTCAATGGTGCTGGGCGCAGTGGTGCACGTCTGCAATCCCAGCATTTTGGGAGGCTGAGGCAGGAGGATTAAGAGTTCAAAGCCAACCAGCCTCAGCAACTGCAAGGCGCTAAGCAATTCACTGAGACCCTGTCTCTAATAAAATACAAATTAGGGCTAGGGATGTGGCTCAGTGTTGAATACCCAAGTTCAATCATCAGTACCAAACAAAAACAAAAACAAAACAAACAAATAAACAAAAAAAACACAAAACCAACTCAATGGTAGTAGTAATGTCTCCGGAGACCTAGTAAGAAACAGGAACACCTTGTGTATATGATGGAAAACAATCCTTTCAGAAACAGTAAACACATTTTTCTTCCACCAGAGGTAGAAAGAATAAGAAGGAAAAGGGTTGAGAATAAAAGTCAATGGGAGGGGCTGGGGCTGTGGCTCAAGCGGTAGCGCGCTCGCCTGGCATGCGAGCGGCCCGGGTTCGATCCTCAGCACCACATACCAACAAAGATGTTGTATCCGCCGAGAACTAAAAAATAAATATTAAAGATTCTCTCTCTCTCTCCTCTCTCACTCTCTTTAAAAAAAAAAAAGTCAATGGGAAAAATCCCAGTGGCTTAGAAGACTGAGACAGGAGGATTGCAAGTTCAAAACCAGCCTAAACAATTAGGAGGTGCTAAGCAACTGAGACCCTATTTCTAAATTAAATATAAAATAGGGCTGGAGATGTGGCTCAGTGGTTGCATGCCCCTGAGTTCAATCTTCTGTACCAAAAAAAAAAAAAAAAAGAGGAAAGAAAGAAAGATACACATGGTTTGTTCACTTTATTTTTGCGCCAGACACAGTGGCCCATGCCAGTAATCCCAGCAACTTGGGAAGCTAAGGTAAGAGGATCACAAGTTTGATGCGAGCCTTGGAAACTTAGCAAGACCCTATCTCAAAATAAAAAAATTTTAAAAAGGGCTGAGAATATAGCTTGGTGGTAGAGTGTGCCTGGGTTTGACCCCCAGAATAGCAAATTAAAAAAAAAAAAAAAATTGTTTTTTGCAGTGCTGGGGATTGAACTCAGGGGGCCTTGTGAATGTTAGGCAAGCACTCTATCACTGGGCTATATACTTTAAGCCCCAGAAATAAAAATGTTTTACAAAATATTAAACAAAAAAATCTGTCAAAGATGTACCAATCAACTAGAGGCATAAAACCATAACATTTATAAGTAAAAAGCTATACAAATTTAAGATAGTAGGAGAAATTATTTCAGTTAGATGAAGTTTACAGAACAAATTCATTAAAAAGAAAAAAAAGGACATTATTTGAGAGAAATCTACATCAGCATTATCTTAATATGGATGATATGGAAAAAAAATTTTTCCCCAGTACTAGGGATTAAACCCAGGGGTGTTCCATCAATAAGCCACGTACCCCCCCACCCCCCTTTTTCCTTAATGTTTTGAGATAGAGCTAAGTTGCACAGGCTGGACTTAAATTCGTGATTCTCTTGCCTTTTGAGTAGCTGAGATTAAGATATGTGCCATGGCAACTAATAATCCTCATTTTTGTGTATACAAATACATAAATACGTAAAAGTGTATGTTTACTACATCCAAAAACTGCAAATCATCTACTTCAACTTACCTTCTTTAAATTTGTTTATTATCCAGTCTAGTTGGTCCAGTACACTTCGGAAAGTACCCATATGATCAAGGACTTCTTCTGTTATAGAATTCAAGATCTATATCATAAAAGTGCAAAAGGTACAATATCAATTATAATTTATTGTCATGTAGGATAAATACAACTAGTAAATCAATCCTTTTATATAAATTAAAAATTATTTTTCACTTAAAACTTGAAAATTATTTCAAAAAATTCTATTAGGTATTTAAGTATTTCTAATTCATTTTTCCCATAAATTATGACTAAAAAGAAACAGGGAAGTACAGCAAAAAGTATAAAAATAATATAGATAATATTATTTTTATATAATATAAATAATAATACAAAAAACTGAACAGTGAAAAACATTTGAAAAGTATAAACTTATCAAGGGAAACAGGATATAAGCACAAAGGACACTAAAGGAATGCTATGGTGGTTCATATTCAGCATCTAAAAGCTTTAAAGAAATTCTCAAAGCATGAAGAGACGAGTATTTTAAATAAAAATACTCTACGATATACACATAAAACTATAGACTATTATTTATATTATTATATTTAGAGTACCAAATTACATAAAGACATAATAAAATTTCAGACCCCATAATCCTATCCTGCAGAGAATTTCCATATATATTTGATATAGTAACAAGCTAGTATTTCTTTAAGGTTTAATACATATCAGTTATAAAAGTAGGAAAAAAGTGGGGTTTTTAAAGCCACCCTCTGATTCCAAATACATAATCTTAAATACTATGCAATCTAACTAGTTTAAAGGCTAAAACAACAACAACAAAATCCTTTAAATATTGTTTCCTTTAGTCTTTTTTAAACTTACTGATTTCACACTGATTCCAGGAAAGAAGCCATTGATGACAACATGAATGGAATCTTGCAGCATGGTGGTTCGAAACCTTTCTAGTAAATCTCTCTTAGAACCCAAACCATAAAGCACAATGTTGAACCCAAGGCTGTTAGGAAAGATACCATTCATGAAATTCACGTTTAAAATCTCTTATTGCCAATTTCATTATTAACTGATTACTTTTAGCTTATAAAGAGTACAGGAAGATATGAGATGTCTAAATTGATTCCCAACTTCTGCAAAGTAAGGGAACCATTCTATTAGCCATTTGAAACCTTATGGTTTCAACTTCTTAGTAACTTTCTCTCTAATGCCATTACCTTTCAGAGACAAAAGAGACCATGGTCAGTAAAGACACTAAAAAGTTTAACAGCTTAAAGCAGAGTTGAAATTGATAGATTAAATTGGAAAGATAAGCAGAGAAGTAATAACAAATAAGTCTTGTTTTTAGAAAGATCACACTGTTGTGTCAGGGGAATGGATAGGAAGGAGGAGCAAAACTGCCAAAGAGGAAAGACCTGAATTAGAAGTCATGAAGAAAAATATACTGTTAAGAGTTTTATATGGGGTGAAATCAATAGGATTTGGAGAGATTAATGTGAGGAAGAGGAAAAGGGAATATCAGTTTTCTTTAGATATGAATTTACCATGCTGGATGAGGGCAGGTAGGTGTGATGGATTTCAAATGAGCTCAATTTTATGTATGTTGAATTATTCACACAGTATCCAACCTACATTCAGATATTCACATCTGCTACAACTGAGTGAGGTCTAAGTTAGAGGTAACAATTTTGACAGTTACTCACATACAAACAGTATTAGAAGCCAAAAGAGTGAAGGAGACCCTCCAAACACTAAAGTCAAGCTAAATCCAGCTCCATGACTGTTTATGGAGGTCAGTCAGACAAAGAGTATTTATGTGATGCCCTATGGCAATGACACTACAGCCTAGAAATAAACAGAGAGAGGTAACACTCGAAGATGGAGATTAGCAAGTTCAAAGAAACAGAAAAAAAGGGGTAAAGGAATTCAGTTAGTAATTCCACTGAAGTAGGTGACCACAAGGTCTAGRATGGGAAGCACAGTAAATCAAGCAACCTGAATTAACAGGCAAAAGGAAGAATTGGTAAGCAAGGGAATAGGATTTGAGTAAACAGCTGCTGTACAAATTTGTACTCCTCATATCCACAGTTACTGAGAAAAGCTGAGGTCCTTGCAAGAAAGATAATCATTTTCTTCCCAGCATAACCTCTGTATATACTATTGCCAACATAAAACTAGGATCAATTAAGGATAATTATGATAATTTCTATGGTCTTACTGTTTGATGGACCTGTCCCATTTAGTTGGCCCAATTGACTCTGCAACTATGAATGTGCAGGTATATTTACATTATCATACATTTTAAGCACTATTTTATGTTAAGATCCTTTTAAATACAAGTAAAGAAGAAAATATTTTTATTTTATTTTAATCACTCTTCTATGTATTTTAATAGAAATTTAAAGTTTAACTGAGGCATCTGAAAAATAGTAAAATTGAAAAAGTTTTTTAAGAAATAATTTTAAAATGCTAAAATGTTCAAGTAACAAACCTTATGAAATTCTTAAAGTATATGTAAATAGAATTATATTAAAAGACAATAAATATACATTCTTTCATTTTAGGAACTTTACTATGGAAAACTAGATTAAAATATTGATATCTATCTTCATATTACAAATTTTTTAAAAATGTAGAATTTTTCAGTTATTCAATAAAATGACATCCCTCTTTTTGAGTCATAAAATTGGGAAAATACCTACTTTTAATTAATTTATATATATATAAGTACATTAAGTTATTTATAAAAATAAAATTAAATATATTATTTTAACAAAAACATAAAAATATATTCTTTATTTGGCAAGGGTTTGTTATGATAATAATACTTACTGTAACTGCAGCATCCATTTATGAAATAATTTCTCATATTGTTGGTTTAATTGTTTAAGTTCAGCAGAAAAGGAAGGAGAAACCTTGCTCAATAAGTTACGCAGAGTTTGCTTAAAAAAAATTTAAAAATTTTTTAAAATGGAAGAAAATAATTCTTAAACCACATACTGATAATCAGTCCAACTAAAAATATTTCCTTAGAGGTTGAGGTTAGAAGAGGCCATTAATAGAAATATTACTTTATCAGGTTTAGAAATGAATACATCAACTGAATACACATAATACTGCAAATATGACTTAAATATTTTGTTTTCTTAAAACCTTTAACACTTTTAAGTACAAATATGTAATAACAATATAAAATATCTGCTAAGTTTTAAATATAATGCTTTAATTTCCAAAAGATTACCATAAAGAGATGATCAAGTCTGCTTCCCAGCATGGACAAGTCCAGACAGACTTTAAAAAACCCTTGAATCAAAAAAACAAAAAAACCCCCAAAAAAAAACAGTGAATCTAGCTCAGTGATATAACACCTGTTCAACAGCATGTATAATGTCCTGGGTTAGACCCCCAATATCACAAAAGCAAAAACAAAAAACAAAAAAGCACCAACCTATGGATTTGAAAAAATGTAAACACTTAAGGTAACTTCTCAACACTTAATTCTCAGAAAACATTAAAGGTTCCTTATAATTTACCATTATCACTAGTAAATCTGAATCACTGCAATTTTACAAAAAGCTATTTTCTAACAAATCCATATCATTGACAAGAATGGCAAATATTTATCTATCTATATATTTACTTGTATTTTTGTTTTGTTTTGTTTTATTTGGTACTGGGGATTGAAGCCAGGGGCACTTTACAATACTGAGCTACATTCCCAGTCCTTTTTTTAAAATTTTGAGACATTTACTAAGTTGCTTATGTGTTTTGCTAATTTGCTGAGGCTGGCCTCAAACTTTGTGATATTCCTGTCTCAGCCTACCAAGGAGATACTGAGCTATATCCTTATTCCATTTTGTTTTAATTTTATTTTGAGACAGGGTCTCACTAAGTTTCTGAGGGTCTCACTATATTTTATTTTTGGAGACTGGCTTTTACATTTTTAATCCTTCTGACTCAGCCTTACAAGTCAATAGGATTACAAGTGTGTATCACCATGCCTGGCTAAATATGGCAAAATGTTAAAAACAGTGATATAAAAAAATGAGGAAGACTGGGCACACTGGCTCATGAGTATAATCCCAGAGTCTTGGGAGACTGAGACAGGCGGGTCCCAACTTTGAGGCCAGCCTTGGAAAACTTAGTGAAGTCCTGTCTCAAAATAAAGTATTTTTCAAAGTGAGGAGAGGTCTGGGTGGGGATGTAGCTCAATGGTGGGGATGTAGCTCAATGGTAGAGTGCCCTAGGGTTTAGTCCTTAGTACAACAAAATTAAAACTGCTGGAGATGCACTCCCTACACCCAAAGTTTATAAATTCATGCTGGTGAATCAAACATAATTTTTTTTTTAAATGAAAACTCTAGCAAAAACCTGTATATGCATCTTTATCCTGGTACTATCATATTTTCATGACTTTACCTTAAATGTATATGTTCTTTTAATCCTGCAGATTAGAATTATAATCAATATTCCAGGTGTTCTGGCCTATGTAATTATTTTTCCACATAATTAAAGAACAGGACTATTTTTTAGTACAACTGTGAAGTTTTTAAAAATCTCTCTCACCCCTTCTGGTGTCAAGAGTCCTGAAAAAATAGAGAAAGCATTCCCCATAAATCTTTTTTAAGTTTTTTAAGTTGTAGATGGATACAATACCTTTATTTTATTTTTATGTGGTGCTGAGGATTGAACCTAGTGCCTCGCATGTGCTAGACAAGTGCTCTACCACTGAGCTACGACCCCAGCCCTATTTCCTGTAATTCTTTATGCTGGAATATCTAAGTATGTTTCTGAGTATTTGTATTCAGGGTATGAACAACTCTAGAATGCTTATTCTCATCTTTGCACTTTGATTTCAAACTTTAATATCAATGGAGAACTGGACTATGGGCCCCAACACTTAACCCCTCCTATATCTATACCCTTTCCTACATGACTTTGCTGTCCCTCCCACTAAATGGGTGGAGTGTGGTTCAGCCACATGATTTGTTTGCTGTGGTCACCAGAATGAGACACAAGTGACAAGATCATGTGTTTTACCACTTCTCTTAAACCTCTGCCATTCTCATTAGAAGAACATGATTCAGCTAGCCCACTGATCCCATGAGGAAGAGAGACATGGAGCAAATACTAGATTATCCAATCTCTTGTTAATAGGTGGACACAAGAAATAAATACTTACTGTAACATACTTCTGAGATTATACTGGTTAGCTACACTATTTCTACAATCAAAGAAAGGTCTTCCCTTCCTTCATTATCTGTAACAAGTTGTTTTTTTCATCCTTGTAGATATCTTTTTGCCTCTAGGTTCTACTTTGATCCTAGATCCACTTATCCTTCTCCTGTTACTTATATGAAAATATATGCTCTAAGCAAACATTACTGTTATCTCTTCCTTGGAACAACTTAGCTTCTTGACATTTACTTTATTTTTTTTTTTTTWMC